CCCTTCCCGCGCATGCAAGTTTCGAGAGACGCATGCAGATTCGCATGTGATGCCAGGCGGTGTTTGCTGTGGTTCTGGTCGTTGAGTGTGCATTCCGGGTGCACCTATCCGGATGGAAGGACGGGAGTGCAGACATGCTCCGCTTGAGGCTCCCTCCAAAGCGTCCCCTTGGCACCCTTCTTCTTGTTTTTTACTGGAGTGCACGGCATCCGGTTGTGCCGATTGGAGAGAGAAGAGCCAGTGATGAATTCGGCAATCCGCCAGAACTACTTCTGTGGCACAGACTATGCCTGGAATTACTTTGCCGCTTAACTACAATTTAAGTATTCCTTGCCTGGGCATGTTTGTCAACCTTCGCCGCACCGGCAGACGAACTGGTGGATTTCAGAAATGCAAGGTGGGAGATGCTCATGGTAGCAGACTCTTCGCCATCGGAAGGTTTAGCATTCCCCGAACCCCAAGGATCCTTCACAATTTCTGGCTGCAGAGGGTCTGGCTTGCTTGGATGATTGAGTCTGCGGATATCGTTATGTTGTGATTAAAGCGGTTTGAGGTGCAGCACCTTCAGCTGAGGACCTGTTCCTTCTACTCACCGGTTTTACCGACATCGTGGTGGAAGTCGCGGTGCAGACGCAGTCTGAACCCTGGGCTAAATATCACTAAGCTCATGTAGATGTGGCTATGCCATGCCACCTTGGCATGGACTTGAACTGAATGGCAGCACTCATGATGACCATGTGGCCCTGTGTCACGAAAAGCCAGCCAATTCTTAAGCACGGAATAAGATAGGCGCGATACGGAGAGGACACTTCGTGAGACAGGGAGATCTTGCAAAACTCCTGCCGGCAGAACAGGAAGTTTGTGTAACTCGATGGCGTTTTCCCAATCGTCAACATGCTTGTGAGCACGGCGGTCCGAGAGGGCACCTGCGTCCACATCAGAGTTCGTGCAAACAGGCCCGTCTGGATTGGCTTAGGAACCATCTATGGCAATAGTCTTTCTATGCATACGTCCTCCGTGTGCGGCTATGAAAGGGTTCTTCCGCTGGCTTCAACATTGGGTGTACAAACATGTCGCCCAGACAGTGCACGTGCAAATACATGCGAACGTGTATATAACTCTGCATAACATATTAATATATATATATATATATATATACATATGTATATGCTATTATGTGCGTGTGTGTATGTAGGCATGCATGGATGCATGGGGGCCGGGGGGGGGCTTAAACGGAAAGGGGGGGTTCGATCGTTCAGGCGATTGTTCATTGCTGTTCATAGATCTGCTTTTATACATAACCAAAAACAAGGAAATCAATTAAACAAGAAACGTTAGTGTGTGTATATATATATAAAATACAGATAGACAACAAGACATTCATGTTACGGTTGCATCGTCTCGCTTGGAGAAGGGGGCAACTGCCATCATTTTGCTCTTTCCTCCTTAGTAGTCCCAAGCCCTTTGAAGCCTTCGTTGCCCAAGGACTTTTTCGGAGCCTCGCTTCTGAGATTCTGTCGCCTCATCCGCCTGGTGCGAGTTGTCCAGACCTTAGTTGCGCAAGCACTGAGAACACTAGTAGTATTGGTTCCTGATAAGTACTACTGCTTCAAGTTCGAAGAAGCAGAACCAGGGAAAGACGAACATCAAAAGGCTACCACCTCTTCTCTACTGACTTGTCAGTATACCCACCAGTATGCTTACTAGCCCCTACGGCCAATATCAAGCCTTAGGTCAAAGTCTTCCGGCTGAAATACATGAAGGCGCGCATCCATTTGCGTCAGCGAGTGGTCTGCTTAACTCAAAGTTTTGGCACGGTTGTCGTTCGGGGCATGATAATTCTGCCACGCTGAATGCGGAGATTCAATAGCTTCTTCCGCGCAGTATATAAAAAGCGGCTTTAGTCAGTTTCGCAGTGTTTCGCAGGAATTCCCGCAGACGGAGATCATGCAAATTTAGCTGATGCCACGCTTGTTGCAATCCGCGGCACCCGTTTGGGAAACAGGTCCAAATCGAACAGCTTTCAGTTGCCCGAATACACGTTCAACTTGACTGTCTACGCTCACCCCAGGATATAATTGCAACATCCCCAAATACCAAACAGCTGCAACACGCGAAGCAGAACTTCAGAAAGCAGGAGCTCCGCTTGATGGTGAAGGGCCTCGTCGGTGGCTTTCGCAGCTCGGCATGTGGCCCCGAGTGATACGCTGCTGAGGCATGAGCAGGAACGGAAAGGAATGGAGTGGTGAACACAAAATGTGACAACAAGAAAATAAACCTCATGATGCTCCAGCAACTGCTGCTGCCGCTGCTGCTAGTACCACTGCCAGTACTACCACTACAATACCACGAGCACTACCAATACCATTGCTGCTGTGGCTTCTACGACCCACGACCACGACGACTATTCCTATTACTCCTACTACTGCTCCTACTCCTACTCTTGCGACTACTACTCCCGCGTCATACTCCTACTCCTGCTCCTACTCCCGCCACAACTACGACACGGTGACGACGACAACTACTGCTGCTCCTACTCCTGCTTCTAATCCTACTCCGACTCCTTCTCCCACTCCTACTGCAACGACTACTACTACTCCTACTGCTACGCCTACTCCGACCACTAGTACGACGACGACTACCGCTGCTGCTGGCGCTACTGCTCCTCCTCCTGCTGCTGCACAACGACGGCAGCTACCACTACGATGACGACTGCTACCACGACTGCGACGACGACTACAGCCACTAAACTATGACGGAGAAGACGAACTACTACTACTACTACTACTACTACTACTACTACTACTACTACTACTACTACTACTACTACTACTACTACTACTACTGCTCCTATTCCCACTGCTCCGACTACTACTGCTACTACTACTAACTACCACTGCCTGCTACTGCTGCCACTGCTTCCACTACGTCTACTACGATGACTACACCTACTCCGACTCCTACTACTACTACTACTACTACTACTACTACTACTACTACTGCTACTGCTACTGCTACTGCTACTGCTACTGCTACTGCTACTGCTACTACTACTACTGCTACTGCTACTGCTGCTGCTGCTGCTGCTGCTGCTACTGCTACTGCTACTGCTACTATTACTACTACTGCTACTACTGCTACTACTCCTGCTGCTGCTGCTACTACTACTACTACTTCTACTACTACTACTACTACTACTACTACTACTACTACTACTACTACTACTGCTACCGCTACTGCTACTGCTAAGCACTCCTCCCCTCCGAGTCCGACTCTTACTGAATCCTGCTGCTGCTCCTACTCCTCCTTCTGCCACTTCTACTCGTGCTGCTGCTGCTACTGCTGCTACTGCTGCTACTGCTGCTGCTACCTCTTCTGCCACTTCCATTACGACTACTGCTACAATTGCTACTGGTGCGACCACGACGCCTGACGACTGCGACTTCTACGACGACGGCTACTGAGCAGAAGACGAAGATGATGCTAATGCCACCATCGTGCTGAGCATTGATGACCGCAGTGATATGAAATAGAAAGGATACTGCTGGAAGTATTGACGTTCACAGAAATAATGTGTTTTGCACATGAGCTTGAGCATGTCGAGGTACTTTGTTCCTATCATTCGCATTGCTCTTCGCCGTGCTCTACGCAGCTTGGCGAGTGAAGGTTTGGAGATCGATTCGTCCGAGGACTAATTTCCAACGAACCATTGCCATCCGTCTGGCTTCGGCGAACTGGAAAACGAAAACAAACGAAGACCCCCATACACCAAGCCATAACCGCTGGACCCCGCCCGCTGCAGTTCCGGGATCTTACATCGGTGAGCGGACAGGGACCGACAATGACAGCCAACGTCCGCATGATACACAGAGGTGCCTCGTGCGGAGTCACAGCACCCATGCTTCTGACAAGGGCGCTGAAGGCGTGTCTGGCAGGAGGCCAAAATTACGCGAAGCTGCGTTATTCGGAAAGATCCACGCAGAAGCCGACCAGCGCCGGCACGTTTTTTTGCTAAGCTTCTGGTGTACCACAAGCTAGAAATGCTGGAATGTGCATTGCTGCGAGTGTGTATGTATAGTTACGTGTTTACCCTTCCCTGAAGGTTATTCTCATGTTTCCATGCAGGCTTGTTCCCGCCAATCATGTACAGTCCCTCCATCGTCGAGTGTAGTTTCCATTCATCAGCAGAGGGCAGCTTTGGTTTCTGTCAGAACTGTGTGACTTTGCAAGATGCAAACGCTCTCACACGACGCTTCCCTGACCATCTGCAAGTAGGCCTTCAATAAGCGCAGGTGCTGCTTTAACTGTGCGATCGCAACCTGCACGACTCTTGTTATCATGGCAACCAACTGTAGAACTGGAGCACCAGCATGTTGTGTTCAACAGTCTTCTGAACGGACTCAGAACAACTTGCTGAACGAGTCAAGGGCCCTTTGGTCTTTTTTGCATCCTCGATTCCCTGCATACTGGACGGTTTGCAGTGCTGTCGATAACCGCACTTGTCGCAGAACGAATAGCGGCAATCAGTCGGGTCATGAGACATTCGCATCAAGTAGCTGGGATTGCAGCAGCCCACCTGATCGAAGCCAACATTGCAGCTGCTCAAGCACTTCCAACAGAAAGCAGCAAGCCCTTCCTGTGCGCTCAAGCCTCTACAGCCCGAGGTCATAGCAGGCTTCGCCACCATGACCATTGGTCGGGACCACAAGGGTCGGGTAGAAGTCAAGGCTCCTCGTGTAGTTCCTTCCTCCCTAACTCCTGCAAGGTGACCATGGGTGTCGGATACGGGAAGTCTGTGCTGTACTGGGCAAGAGCATCCGCAGCCCTTGTAATCATAGTAAACAGGGTGACTACTCGCGGCAAGGCTAGCAGCAGTACTGGGAGGAGGCAGTTGGTCTGTGCGCTGGGATTCCGATATTTTACAGAGGCAGCAGTCTACGCAGCAGCTCCCAAAGCAGGCATAATATGTTAACCGTGGAGATGTGACCCGGCCCGAACCCATGTCGTTCGAGCAAAGAAACCGGGAGGATTCGCTGGTTGCAGAACTTGGTCTCACCACTCACTTCCAGAATATCCCTTCGTGGCTGGGCGATCCAAGCTGACATATCATGACGGAGATGCGTTGCACACTGAAATCGTCAATCCGGCAAATGTCTTACATAGTTGACTCTGACCACAGATGCAGTCGGTTCTTCTCAGGAAGAGGTCTCCGGAAGGGTTGCGGGTTGCTTCGAAGACAATCTTGCACCAGTCGCATGCCACCTCATCTGCATGCTTTAGGAAGCGGAAGAGAGCTGGAATCGCACGCTCAAAGGCGAGACATACATGTTAGCGCGGTGATTCTTCGATAGGCTTCAGTTCAGTATTCTTCCTCTTGCTGAAGCTGAGGTCGATGTTTACCGCTTTCAGATGCTTCTCCGGGGAGTGCTTCGCAGCGTCAGGCTGCCGGCTCGCACTGCCGTCAAAGCATTCAGAAATCCTCTCGATTTCCGGAACAACTTGGTTTCTTGGGTGGGATACGGGTGCATTCGCTTCGAGGAAACACCGAAGTGTCCGTTCATGCGCCGTCCGGCGCGGTGGAGTGTCCTCTTTTCACCACCTGGCACATTCCAAACAGCCCGCGGAGAAGGTCTGACGTGAGCTTGCCCGAGGTCTGCCAATTGCAGCCGTCCTGGAGGATTCCCATGGTTTGCCTTTCGTCCTGGGCTACGTGGTCTGCTGCTTGGCTGATCGCTTGCCGTGCACCATGTCACAACACCGTCACAGTATCAAAATGCAAGCACCGACCATTGGACAACACTCAGCAGACGGCTTGCTGGGGTTATGTGATATCTGGCAGGGGGATTGGACGGCGATCATCGTCGCCGCTGCAGCTTCTTTGTTTCCATGTCGTACCCGAGGCTACATGCTGGTCTCGTTGGGCAGCGCGGCCTCGTTAAGATTTCTTGGGCGGGGCTCCTCATGGAGTTGCTTGATGGTGTGCAAGTTGTTCGATTCGAGAATCGCTTGTGACTCGTGTGGCTTCTTTCGTCGGGCTTCGCTGCACACGGCAGGCCTGTCTTCCGAACTTGTAGGATACACAGTCCGCCTCCGAGCAAGCCCAGCACGCTGTTTGCGCGTGTTGGGCAAGGTTTGCTAGAAGCACTGGTGACATGGGGACGTCTAGGGACGTAGCATCAGACCGCCGCATGGCGAAGACGTGATTGGACATTAGACTTGAAATCTTAATTTCGTGGGGGGGGGGGGGGGGGGGGGGGGGCAAAGTCTGAAGCCTTAGCGCTAGCATAGTGACTGCGCTGCAAAATAGACAGAAAATATCAGCTTTTTTGGCGACTTGGCGACCCTCCACTTACACAAGACCCACAGGAGACACGGGCGTTCATCATGAAACGGGCGAGCGGCAGCCACAGAACAGTTCTAAGTTGCCACGATCACGTCCGCCCCTATCTCCCTGAACGTAGTACTCAACGATTGAGGAATCTACAACGTGATCCTGGCAGCCGCTTGACATGCAACAGTTTCAAGAATCGGTGGCATGGTCCTTGTGAAGCCCTGATACAGGATCGCAATAAGAGGGGGTGTCGCAATCTTGAAGATGCCGCTGGATCCGGTCCTTCAGTATTCCTCGTCAATCGCGGGCTGCTTCGGTGTGAGCCCAGTTGCATGCTGCTTATATAATATATGCGGATGCTGTGTGAACCGTATCTCCCCGGCACAGGTTTATGTGGACATCACCATGAGAGCTGCGAAGGACTGCCGGGTAGAACCAGAGCCCCTGAGCAGAGCGGCCAAGGAACCAAGGGATCTTGATTTGACACTGAAGTCAGAGCAGATGCCCCTCGACATCCGGCACTTGCCGCTTGAAGGCTGCCAAGGGTTCACTCGGCCAAACGTCGTTACAAGGTCGTTCTACACTCCCCTCGATACAAAAACTCCTCCGGAGGAGTCGGAGGCCGTGACTGCCGAACAGCATTCTCGCGAGTCCATCCGGATTGCCCGCACGACACGCTGCTTGGAGCAAGGCTTCGGGCAAGTGCTTCCGGAAGGGATTTTGGTTCGATTGCTCTGCCATTCATTGGGCGGGATTCGGCTGCAGTCGTGCGGGAAGGAGTGCTGCTGGCTCTCTTGAGCCTTAAATTCCGAGCATGCGCGCCGGATCGAGTCACGAAAATGCGGTGGCACAGCCAAGCCTGAACAGAACAATCACAATGAAATCAAATGCGTTTTGCTCACATATCCTCGCATTTGCACTGCTGTTGCACCCAGGTGAGCTCTTGAAGAAGTTTGCGGCGGCCTACAGGCAGTTTCAGGATCTGGACGAGACTGAGGCGACAGAAGTGTAGCTGTAATATGAGGCGAGGCTGATGAGTAGTTAGGCAGCTTCAACCTAGGCGGAGTCTCAGTTCTACTATGTTACTATGCGGCTGACTGTCAGCAACCGTCCTCATGATGACCCCCGGAGTGATGTCATGATTCTGGTTCATAGTAATACACAGGGTGCGGGCCTTGCACTCGTGCATAAAGGCGCAGGTTACCGCCATCTCCATGTCTATCCACACCGCAGTAGATTATCCTGGGGTTTGAAGTGGAACGTGGCTCCGTCTCTTCGGGCTGAAACTGAAATTGCTTTTGGTGTTCGTTTCCCTCGGCCTGAATCGTTGGAGAGTCGTGAGCACGCTTGCAGACCTCGAACAAGAAGCACCTGGACTTCAGCCCAATGGAGTCCAACTTCACCGACGAGGACATCCACGGCCACATCGTGCCCCGGATGGATGATGGGCGAGGGTCAGGGCTTCAGAGCACGTGTCGAGCTTGAGATCAGGGCTTGTATGGCAAACCGCATGGCCAGGCCATCACGAAGGAGCTCTTCCTTCTCGTCATCCAGGCTGGCCGAGTAAAGAGGGGTGCAGTCTCTTGCGACCTCAGCTCAGCCGAGACCTGCACTGAGATCTCAGGGCAACGACGATTAGCCAGCCATGAGAAGAATCTGGAATGACGCTGCTGTAGAGACGCTCTCCACAGCCACTCGTAGCTCAAAGGGGTGGGCTTCTCTAGATTGAATTGCAAGTGGAGATGCCAAGCTTGACACGCATGCGCATCCGAGTCAGATGCACAGGAAACTGCAAATAAAACGCCCACCCAGCAGCCTGCATAAGCATTTGCCACTTCACTCAGCTCTTCTCGTGTACGTTTCGGTGATTCCCGACTGTTGGCACAGGACCAGTCCGTCCAGTTCCTAATGGATGAGCTGGAACTCCCCCATGACCGCGCCAACCTATTCGAGGTTCGATGAGAGCTCAGCTGGGTTATGCTGAGGTCGTCTGATTTCTTCCTGCTACACATGCCTGTTCAAGCAGCTTTCAGGCATAGAAGTAGTGTTCACGCATCGCGGAAGGCATCCAGATGGCCGGTCATACCTTTAGTGGGGAGTTTTGGGGAAGGGGTCCGCCTGCTGTCAAGGCATGCTCGTCGAAGCTTGCAGGGAATCAGACGCAACGGGGAAGAAGAAGTAACTTGGAGGTCTCTAGTGCCGAGCAGCTTCTCCGTCTAATCGCCGTTGCAACTGCGAAAGCCCATACATAAATGAAGTCCCCAGCTGCTTTGGTTTGTGACCGACACAGCCAGAGCTGATAGCCGGATTTGTCGCCAATCCGCTTGGCAGATCATCGATGCTGACGGGAGTGGTACACTTCACGTCACCGAGTTGGTTCAGGCGTGGTCTCAAAGGGCCTTCTGCAGCACCCTCGTGATGATTTGGCAGGGCCAAGCATGAGGAGGGCTACCATACCATCCACTACCGCTGCTGGTTCTGTAAGTATGGCGGCTGCCGATAAAGGTCATGTTCTGCCGCGCTTCGGCATGTCATTCCACATGCGACCTCACTGTGTTCGTCACAACGCCCCTCATACTGCTACAACTCCTGACTTCTACGGCTCCCACCTCTCCCTATCTTTGTTGTACTTCTGGTTCGCCTCCTGAGCCACTAATTACTGCTTTCGCTGCGACGAAGGATGCTCCCACTGTACTTCTCCTCCTCCTCCTCCTCCTGTGCGTCCTGGGAGAACATACTCGCACATCCATCCCTGCACTTCTGAAAGTACTGAAGCGGCTGACACTCGCGACATCCACTTGCTATGATCATGTCGTACTCACATACCACCACTGGGAAGGTCCTTCCATAGTACCTCTGCCTGGGATTCTCGGGTGCCAGCAGATCCCTAGCACCTGCACTAACACCTCTAAAGCCTAAAGATGCCCAAGTACTCTGTCTCGAGTCTGTGCGTCGGATTGAAGCAGTAGCAAAAGTAGGCGAAAACAGTTTGGTTCAAGCTAGAATCTGCAAAAGGCAGTAAAAGTGCAATGAAGGCTGACTGATGTACTGGACTGTCTTTGCAGCCCTGCAGGCCCAACAGTATCGCGTGTTCAAGTCTTGTCTGACGGTCAGGGCCTGCTAAAGATTCGCGGGGAAGTCAAGAAGAGCGATGCTGTCGCTACTCTGCTCGCGACGAAAGCGATCCAGAATCAATTGGTGGAACCTTGGTGTCATTGTTGATGAGGAACTTGCTCTGTTTGCATCGGGAGTCTTGCATGAACAGGCGGTCAGTGGCAGGCGGCTCTTGCACCACAGAGTTCCATGAGCACCAATAATCTGGGTGAAAATCGTTCGAATAAGCAATCGTTCACGAGTAGTAACTGATCGTAGCACCTTGCCGAGTGCTCGTACAATACTCTTGGCCCTGTGTGCCCTACTCCACTGGGGGGGGCCTTGATCCAATGGAATGCATGCTGGCTAGACAGATGAACTAAAGGTCTTTGCTGCTACCTCTGTGGCCTACGATAATTCCGACGCTTGTTCATGCTCTTGCTTGCTGCGGAGATCGTGCAACATTCAACTGCAGCTGCCGCCAAGGAGTTGCGGACAGACGAGAAAGAGTTCCAGAGCACGGTTTTGAAGCTTCTTCAGCCTGGAAGGACTCCTCGTGTTACGGAGCTCAGCCACCGAAGATACTGCACGCCGTCCGTTGGGTTCGGTGACGGGAGCGCAGTACTTTCATGGGGCTCGGTTCGTGGAGATTTGCGGGTATGTCTGTGCTTTTGAAGCTCCACCGATGTTACCGCACGATCACACCCAGACTTGTGGGTCCGTAGGATTGCGTTCTCAGGATTTCCTGATAATGCACATAAAGAAAGGTGATCTCCTGACCCCCCCTGGTATGGCTCTAGAGTCTGAAAGGTATGGCAAGGCAAGGACACTTGTGTCGGGCCAGGATATCTGTGGCTTCCACGAAGATCGTGTCGTAAATTGCGCAGAAGCGAGGCGCGGTCCTTTACGGTTACAAGTAGGGGCTTGGCGAAGATTTCCATGATGCGGATCGTACATATGATTGGTTGTAATGGGCAGTAAGTAGTATGCTGCCGTAAGCTCGCTTTTCCGAGCTGGTCGCTGCTGCCCTCGGTACTGTGTTTCCGCTGCAGGACCCCCCGCAGTCAAGGCCACTTGAACAGACCAACTCTATGCTCTTCCACACCTGATAGTCAGGCTCCCCAACATGGCAGTCTCCGCGACTGCAGACGGGCATCTCCAACATATCTGAGCGTGTCTGCATGGAGGGCGTTCATGCATCTTGCCTAGTTGACCAGTCTAGTACGAAATTCACCCGTGCGTGTTCATTCAAAGTGTTACCGGTGAGTGCAAGAACGTCTTTACCTGGCGTGCTGCCACAAGCCGGTCAACAGAGACAGCCTTCACATCTACATGTTCCCACCCGATGGAATGACAGACGTATGGAACTCCCAAGCAGGACTCCCCAGCCCCGTGCCGAGAACCCTGCTCCTTGAAGACATGACTATTCGGCATCTCTGTGCCCTAGCTTTATAGGAGATCTTTGTGTGGAGCTGCCGGCCAGAGGCACCAGCTCCCTGCCACAACGTTGAATCTGCCTCGTTTGAGTTCGTGCAACTAACCCCAATGCCCAAAGCCTCTGTAGCTCTACGGAATGCGGACCAAACGATTCGGCTGATGTTCCGACTTCCGACACACCCGCAGCGGCCCTCCTCTCCGCCAGCAGTGGCCTTGGCCGGACATGGCCGGACACTCCGCCTGCTTTGCTTGCCTGGCAGTGCCGACATCTGCAACAATCATCAAAAGAAAGAATGATCATCGTCGTCATTCTCATGATCGCCATCGCCACTACGGTCATTTCGTCACCGTCATCGGCATGGTCACCGCCACCTTGATCATCATCACTATCATCATCATCATCAACATCATCAGCAGCAGCATCGCCATAGCCCCTAAGCCCTGTGACACCCTATGCTAGCCGTAGGTACTAGCCCATTAAAATAGAGGGAATATCAAGAAGGTGTTTTCAACAGTAATAACATGTGAATCGTGAAGCATGTGATGAAGCCGTGCGATGTCTTCATCCGTATGCGAATGAGCGAGTGCTCAGAGGCCACATCAGAGTCAGAATCACAGTACTAGCTTCAAAGTCTCATAATGGACGACAATACATATTGTTCTGCAATGCGTGTGATGACGATGAAATGCAAGGTATGCATTGTGAAAAGCAAGGCAGTAGATAGATGTACATCGCATGGTCAGGATGTTGACGGACATAAGTTTGGTTTATTTTGGTATTTTGGTTTTGTGATGACTTCCAAATGTACCATGAAAACTTAAACTGCACTTCGCGGATGCCCGTGGCCTGACATACTGCTACAGAGCCGAGAGGACCCAAAGATGGAAGTGGCAGTTAGCAGCGGTTTGTTGGCTTAGGTTCGCGTTCAGTTGGTGACATTATGAGATAATCAACGCCGCGAATGCTTGTATATAATTACGAGCATCATCATATCAATGCCGTGGCTCTGGCGTGTTGCTAGTCTTGTCCTTCTACCCTCAGCTGGTTTCTGTGCTTGGCTTCCATGAATAGATAGACATGTGTCCACTGTTGCGCTGCCCTCCCATCGAATTTCGTCGATCTTTGGCTCTGCACCCCTGGCATGTCTTGAAAAACAGATCTTGTCGCAGGCACCGTTGTTGTTTCTGGGTGTGGACATGATACAGACCGAAGCTTTGACCCCTGACCGATAATATGCGTATGCCAACACAACAAGTGGGTATGCACTCAGGGATGTGCAGCCAGTGTTTCAGGTGTGATCTTGTCAGACAGTTGCAAAGTGCAACCTGCAGCCTTTCAAATTTCGCGCGAGTCTTAGCATCAGGAGAAATCCAAAGCATGCTTGTGTATTGGTTCCGTTAATGGTTATTCTGCCGGACATCTTTCATATGCCACTTTGTAACGGGTACTGCTCCAGAACCGCTTCTCCAAATGGGGGCTTGTGCCGCATTGCCATCCGAGTTTGTCATCATTGTTGCTGAGAAGGATGAACATGATCGAAAGTTGTCTGGTGTTCGTTCCACTATTCCATGTCATCGTCTTTGCTGTCACAACGGATCGTGCGCGAAATTGGGCCGATCGAGAGTACCAAAGCTCGGAGAACGCCTCATGGCAAAAAGGAGCGTTGTCTGTCGAGGTCGTGGCTTTCTCTCTGTTAGAGATAGATCATCGGCAAATAGCTCGAAAACACACATTTGGTTGACTTGAAGGTAGGCATACTCTGCCTTGCCGGAGGAGGTTGCTCACCGGCTGGGACTTTATGGATGTTGCAGGACAGCAGGAAGGCAGTGTAGGATCGATCCATGCCACGCGGCAGCAAGCATCAGCAACCCCAGGCCGAAATACACCCGTACTGACGAGAAGGCAGCCAACCGGCGACAACGCCGTAAAGAAGCGTTGCCAACTCAACCATCCTGTCCCCCGAACCCGTAGAGTCGCGTGTCGATCTTCCGATGTGTGCCACTCAAGCTGTAGCAGCGGCGCAGTAGCTGACATCAGAAGTCATGCACCTTGTAGAACCTTCGGGAGCCGTAGCCACACAGCTTGGGAATCCCTGTGGGGTTGCATCTTCATATCTCTCCCCCTGTCTATACAAACGGACATATTATGCATGGATGTAGATATCTTTTGTGGGGGGTTTACGGAACGCGCCGAAAAATCACAGCACTACAGCTTGTGCGCTGCAGTCTTTACCAAACAAGCTGGGAGACTGTGTTCAATGTTTCATGGGACCTCGAGAGCACACCAACCGTAGATTGCTATGAGCTCTAAAGCCGTAAGACCCTTGTGCAAGCTCGTCTAAACCACTGGCAAACACCGGCGCTGCCCATCCGCGCGGCTTCAAGGAGGCTCTCTGGGGCTTGCTTAGTGCTTAACTAGTGAGGCCACTGAAAGCCCAGGTCCTTCCTCCCTGGAGTTGTGCGGATGATGTTCTGCATGCACAGAGCTTCTGGTTACCTAATTTGGGCAACACCCATCTTTAAAGTCTTTGGTTGATGCTGAATGCTGGTTGCTCATTCGGAGGCATTCTCTCTGGGCAGATAAGTTGGCAGACTCGACACCACGCGTTTCATGAAAGCACTAGTTTCGACAGTGCTGCAAGTTACTGCACATTCGCGTTTGGAGCTCTGCTGCAAGGTCAAAGTGTTCATTTTCCGAAGACTAGTTCGAACTAAGCCGTAATTGCCTTTCAATGCTAATGGTGGTCGTGGTCATCGTGATTCTGATGCTCACCATAATGGGGATGATGATGGGAGTTGATGACGATGATGAATATGCTGGTGAATGGTGGTTATCGTCGTTACCCGCCAAACCCTGTCCCCAAGCTTTGTGCTTCTTGCTGGAAGCTTTAAAACAACCTGCCGTTTTGCAACACGCCCCGAAGCCGTAGATGCCGTACCTGAATCGCCTAAGCCGGAAGTAGTAGTTGCAGACTCAAAGCTGGCTCGAAGTCCGACTGAGGTGTGTGCAGAAGGTCACAAAGGAGCAAAGGCAATTAGACCAGATCCTAAAGTTAAGAAGTTTGGGATTGTTGGTGTGTACGGTACTACACTTTCACACGGAAGCTTGATCCTGCGAAGATCTGCGAAGTGTGCTCGCCCGTTGTTCCAGAAGCATAGCCTCATAAAGTTGAGATGAAGGCTACGCAGGGTTCAGACCTTCCGAAATCCTGAGTTGCGATACATTGGTTAGGATATCTTATTCTGCGGTCGCGGGCTACGACTGGAGAGATTCTTCATCAACAGGGGGAGGGGAAGGGTTTTCTTGCTCCGGGGCTTTGCACAGCATTCGGGGTTTGGGGAGCTTTGCGGCTTTGAAGTATTTTTTGAAGTCTTTCGGCCTTCGGTAAGCGAGAATGTAATGAGCCCACGCGGAAAGTCGGGCGATCAAGTAAGATCGCCACGACACATACTTCGAGTATCTGTTACAGTACTATTGCTCATGCCGCATGCCGGCCAACCTTAGATCCTGCACCGGCGGGCCCATCATTCAAGGCCGCGGCGTGCCATGAGTGGGGAGCGAGAGCGACTGGAGACAGTCTTGGAGGACGTGGAAAAGCTGAGCGATGTTATTGGTCATTATAGAACTACTACCAACACTGTTTTCTGCTGTTGTTGCTGCCTCTGCTGTTGTTGTCGTTGCTGGCGTTCGT